ACTTCAAATTCAGATTAAAATAAACACTCCATGACTGTTATGATCTTTAGTTACAAAAATACTTGTAACCTCTTTGTGTCTTGATTCACTTTTAGGATGTGCTCATCGAGTTTCAAAACAAAAAGACTTTAATAGTCAAAAATTCCAAAAGCAAAAAAGTGGAAAGGGGCAAAAACACAGATAGGAACCAGGAACACTCTGAAATGGACTTCCAGACGTTCCACAATGACGCAACAAGTGAAACGCATGGCTTAAATACACTAGGTAGGTGATTGGACAAAATGCGGGAACAATCATGACACAACAGACAATCACAGGGGATGACAGGACAAGGCAGGAAGTGACGTTACCCAGGGAGACAAGAGGCAAGAAACTACAAAATAAAACAGGACATGAACCCAATCCGTGACATAACCCCCCCCCCCTCAAGAGCCGAATTCCAGAAGGCCATAAACCAGCAGAGAGCAGACAAGGGGCGGGAGGGAGGGAAACCAGAGAGGAGGGTCGGGCCACCCGGGGAACTCCGGCGGGCGGTCTGGCTCCGAGGCGCCAGAAGGCCTCTGGAGTCGCCGGCTGCAGGACGGGCGGCTCCAGCTCCAGTGAACCTGCGGGCTTCCCAAGCTTTTATCTAGTGATTAAAGAAAACCTGTGAAAACATTTAAATTGCCCCGTGCATCGCCACTGCTGCTTTTCATCGCGGACACATTTGTACCGTATTTTCCTCCACAACTTTGTTCACCTCTCGACCGGCAAACCGGCGTTTGCGGCGATCTCCCTCCATGAACCTAACCCGCTTCTACAACCCGCCAATGACGGCTTGTAGAAGTGGTCATATTTAAGCATTTCTTCCTACAAAAGTTCTTCAGTCTGGTCCGTTCTCTCGTAAACATTCTTCGTTTTAATCATGGCGGTATCGGGCTATGAAAACGAAAATGTGAGACTCCGTAAAGGACGTAGTTAGCGGACCAATCACAGCCTGGTGCGATGGCACTGATGTTTGTCGTCCCCGCCCTTCCACTTTTGGCTCTTTATTGATGCCAAAGCAAACGTTCTCATGAAGGTAACCTGCCTGCAGCCTCTGAGCGTCCTCGTGAAGCATCCCAAGTAAAACGTTAGTGTTGATTCTTCTCACACACCTCCAACCGTCTCGCTCTCAGAGACGTGGGAACTGTCCCCCACTGTTTGCTCTGATGATTAATCAGAAATTATCCTTTTGGAGACATGTCCACAGGCTGTGAGCTTAGAGAATAAGAGGGAGGAGAAGATCCACCTGGCTGTCAGACTACAGGAGGAACCGTGGTGAGTAGCAGCTTCTCTCTGTTTCAGGACGATTCATCAAATGCTGAATCCGTCACAGGGACGTTTGAGGGACTTCTGTCCTCGTTTTAATGGAGTTTGTGCTCAACAAAACCATGAAAACAGACGTTGATTTTGTTATTTTAGGGCTTTGGAGCTTAACGGGTTTGTTAAAGTGTTGAAACAACATGGTGGTTCTTTACTCCCCACAGAACCACCATGTTGCTTCAACATCCCCAGAGTTTGGTCACGTTCATATTTACTTCTATTTATAGTGTACATAGTTGGTAAATGTTGGTACTCTTCTTGTTGTCATTGTGCTATTTTTTATATTTGCCTTGTTTGTAGTTTATTATTTGTAGAAGTTTCATTAAGCCGGAATCATGCGTCCAGCTGTGCTAACCGCTGTCCTGCTCTCGGTGCTCTTCATCAACGCCGTGACGTCACTGAACCTCGGTGAGTACAACCCTAGTGTGAAGAAGTAGTGAACCCTGAAACACACGCAACGTGGTGTTCCTCACACACATGACACACGTCATACATGTAGCACGTGCTCTGATGACGCTGTTCTCTCTCTTTCAGGCAATCTGCCGCTGCGTGAAGAGCGAGCTCTCTTCGATGCGCCACCAGATGTTGCGGTTCCGGTGGCTCCCGCTCCACTGAACATGCGGGCTTCCCGAGCTCTCTTCGATGCGCAGCCAGAAGCTGTGGTTCTGGTAGCTCCCGCTCCAGGGTGGGGTTAACCGAGCCGTGGACCTGAACCAGATAAACCTTTAAATAATTGGAGAGATTTTCAAGTATATTTACAGTTGAAAAATGTGCAGGACGAAGTGATCATCATCTGCTGATGTGTTCCTTCTCTCTGTAAAGCTGCTCTGTGTTTCTATAACCCGCCAACACGAGCTCCAATAAACGCTTCAGCATTCAAGCTCCTGGTGTCACTTTGTTGGGCAATGAGGGGTCGATGTTCACGCTGTAGATTAAAGCACTAGATGATCCGTAGATTTCGAGCCCGACACACGCGGCTCAGCGGGGGTCCCACCGGGTCGAGTTCAGCACCACGGACAGCGACTACGGGACCTCATTCATTCCTCCTGTAGGATCCGAATGGCTTTGATGCAACGTGAGCTCCTCTTCTATCAACAGTTATAGTTTAATACAACAAGGAGCAATGGATTAAATTAAACGCTCCATGACCGTACCTTCACTCAGCGCGCATTTATTTACTTTTAGTCTTTTAGGATGTTCTTTTTATAAACGGTCCTCATCTAGGATTAAAACACCCGCAACGTCCCTTTGATGCCAAGCTAACATCTTAGCATTTAGCTCTCCGGCTACAGTGCTCAGCAGAGAGTAACGTTAGCTAATGCTAACGCCGTTAGCTGTGGACTTTTTTAGACCTGGACAACGAAGACGAGGAAGATGAAGACGACTACAACATTGTCTACTTTTAACAGCACGTTAGAAAATTCATACAATCATTTATTTCTAGAGGAATAATCTCTTAAATAAATTAAATCACCATTTAAGAATTGTTTCGTTCTCCCAGGAAGAGAACATGTGAACTGAAAAGTCTTAAACTGAACAATAGAATTGTGCAACAACCTCTTTGGTTAATAAACTAAATGTAATGTATATTATATAGTATGTAAAATAAAAAAGGGGCTACATAGATGCTTCTGTGTGTCTTTTTAGTTTGTTGTGAAACAGAAGAAGAAGAATTAAGTCGTCAGATAGCCAACTTTTAAAAATCAATATCCAACCTTCTCCCCGAGGGTCACCGCTTGTGCCGCCATGTTCCCCACGTTTCATCCTTTCATCGCCCGTCATCCTCCGTCTTTGGACGCACCGTGGTTCCTCCCTACCCCGCCCCGTCCCCCCCCTTTCCTTCATTTTCTCCCACGTCGCCTCTCGAATCCTTCAATCTCATCCGTCACCTATTCATCCTTCCTCGTCGCTTCCTTCCCTTTCCATCCATCCTTCTTCATTCGTCCTCTTCCTCCTTCCCCGTCCATCGCTCTGTGTTTCTGCCTCCATTAGCGGGGAAATGGAAAAAGTGACATCAGCTATTTGGTAAACGGAGAAGGATGGAGGGAGAGAGAGAGAGAGGGAGAGAGAGGGGGGGGGGGGGGGAAATGGGAAAGCAAAGATCAAGAGAGTGACATTAGGAGTGATCGTCAGGGAGAGAAAAGGGAAACAAGAAGAGTGACAGGAGGTGAGATGAGGAAGACAGAGAGAGAGAGAGAGAGAGATCCATTAGAGAGAGAGAGGCTTCCCCTCATTGACCCCGTAATGCAGAGTAAATAAATTGTCTCAATGGAACATAGACGATGTGTGTGTGTGTGTGTGTGTGTGTGTGTGTGTGTGTGTGTGTGTGTGTGTGTGTGTGTGTGTGTGAAGAGCACCGCAGAGCCTTTCTGTATTACTGGTAAACAACTTCAAAATGTCGAAAATATCTTTTTTTCTTCCTTTCAATTCCATGATGGAAATCTTTCAAATGTGTAGTTTGGTTAAATAAAAAAAACAGCAGCGGATTGAGCATTTAACATGAATTCAATGGCAGAATGTTTGCTTGTGTTTGGGACTATTTCCAGCGGCGGATGTGTGTTTGTGGAAGCAGGACCGATGGTGGTGAGCTGGTTTCTCGATGTTCCCCAGAGGCTGAAACCGGCTCTAGTCGGTCACATGTCTGTTTTAGGGTGAGCTTATTGGACGGATGTGGAACGTTGGTTCCTGCAGGATTATTTTCCGTCACCTTTTTCATATTTCTGCTCTAGCTGTGGGTTTATTTTCCCTTTTTAATATTTTAAATGAACTCGTTGGTGGAAAGGGGCTTTAAAAGGGATTGTTGTAACTTAAAGTGTTTTCTAGTCGCCTTGTGCCTTTGTTGCGTAATTAAGATACTATGCAGTTATAATGTGACTTTAAGAGCTTTATTACAGGAACCAAACAAAATCATCCATAACTTTTGTTTTGAAGAAAATGGCGGCTTTTTTTTTTAGGTGCACGTTTTGCCGTCGCTAATTATTAAAACAACAATTTGTTTCCAAGAGCAACCAGGCTTCCCCAGAACAAACCTGTGACATCATGTGATTTGAAAAATGAAGTGTGTGTGTGTGTGTGTGTGTGCGTGTGAAACACCAGGCGACAGCTGTCATTATAATACTGTATATTTGCAGCTCAAACCCAGAGAACAGTGACAGACTGAGATCATCAGGAGAAACAATACAAATAATAAAACAAGAAAAAACGCTGAATGTTTGTTTTCTATCTACACGGAATATCCCTTTAACCCCAAACAATCCCCCCCACCCCTCCCCCCCGGCAACGCCCGCCCCCTCGTCCCCACCCCACACATCTCAAATAGTAATCAACAAATAAACAAAACTGCAACACAACAGTCTGCACTCTTAGTAGGTCAGAAAATCCAGGGGTGGAAAGTATTGCTTTCGGCACGGCTGAGGAGCGCTTGATTTCAATACCTGAAGTACTAGAAGAGGGGTCAGGGTCAAGTTCTTGAATCGAACGCTAAAAGACATAAACCCAAGAGTTGTCGTACAGTTTGCATCCTGGCAGTTTTAGAAACGGACAAATCAAGCGCTCCTCGTCTTTAACACCCAAAAGTTTGAGTTCTACTTCCCGGTCACGGGGGTCAAGAGGTGAAAGGCTCCAAAGTCGAGGAAGAGATTCGACGTACCTTTTTGTTTTCCAAGCGTTTCTCGTGTCTAAAAGTCACTCCGTTGTAATAAAAAAGTTTTTTTTTTGTTTTTTTCCTGACTTTTGCATCATTTGAGAAACGGGTTTCACAGATTATTAACAGGGATAGAAAACACTTCATACATTGAAAAGCTGCATCCAATATATTCAGAGGGAAAAGTAGATACACAGAGAAGCAGGAGATATAGGAGGAGCTGATTGGTAGAAAAGAAGAGGCGATAAGAGGGCGTGTACGTAACGCGACTGTCCCATGCATCCTTTTCCTGTACGGAAAACAAAGCGAATGAAACTTGAGACACAAATAGAATCCCAAGTTCTTTTTTTAAACCCTTTTTCTAAAGTCCCGCCATGGGCTCCTCCCATTAGCCGATTATCGTCCAATCAGAAGGGTGTTGACAGGCGGTCAATGGGCTGCTGTCAAATCCAGAAGGGGGTGGGGTTAGGGGGGGGGGGGGGTCTTTAAATAATTTTCTTTTTTTTATTCCCTTTAAGAATATTTAGTTCTCCTCTTCAAGGGTCTGAAGCAGTGTCGCGATTGGTCCAAAAGTCGAACGAGATGAACGGGGGACGAGAGACGTTTGTCTGAAAAGAAAAAGGAGAAGAAGAAGAAAGGAGAAGTCCTCCCAGTAGTCTCGTTGTTTCAGAGCAACGTCAAAAAGTTTGCATCGCGGCAAAGATCGGAGTCCGTTGCCGTGGAAACGGGCTGGTGGAGTTCTTCTGTGCAGGAAGGAGGGGCTGGTTTGGTGGGGTTCGGGAGGCGGGGACTCCGTCCTTCTAGAACATCATGGGGTTCTTCAGAAACGACCGGGAGTCTGAAGAAAGAACACAGAGTCGGTCAGTAAACAGAGCGGCACCAATAACTTTCTTTATTGATCTTTAGTCGGCTATTGATTTGACCAAACGCCAGGAGGACGTGTTCGAATGTCTTATTTTACTGAACGCAACCTAATTATTACTTTTTATTTAATTTCCTATGCTTTAAGTCCCAAAAAACCTGCAGTTGACAGCTAAAACCAGTGAAAAAGAATATTAAAATATAAATGAAATATCCATATTATTCCAATATAAAAAAAAATCTAAAAGCGTTACTCATCAGATTTGTTTTAATAAACTTTAGCTTGAACTTAGAGTTTATAGATATACATTTTCATTCAATCTGACACATTTAATAGATTTTTTAACGACCCAAATTGTTTGTACGTTTAGTCTCGTATCCTCAAACAACTCAATTTGCACAAAGTAACTCAAGTGATGTAAAAAGTTCTGTTTTGCACAAGAACATAATGCTTCAGTCGGGATTATTAAAGCAAGTAGTTTGCATCAAAGCAGGAAGTAGTTTGCATCAAAGCAGGAAGTAGTTTGCATCAAAGTAGGAAGTAGTTTGCATCAAAGCAGGAAGTAGTTTGCATCAAAGTAGGAAGTAGTTTGCATCAAAGCAGGAAGTAGTTTGCATCAAAGTAGGAAGTAGTTTGCATCAAAGTAGGAAGTAGTTGGCCTTAAAGCAGGAAGTAGTTGGCATTAAAGCAGGAAGTAGTTTGCCTTAAAGCAGGAAGTAGTTGGCATTAAAGCAGGAAGTAGTTTGCCATAAACCAGGAAGTAGTTGGCCTTAAAGCAGGACGTAGTTTGCATCAAACCAGGAAGTAGTTGGCCTTAAAGCAGGAAGTAGTTTGCCATAAAGCAGGAAGTAGTTGGCATTAAAGCAGGACGTAGTTTGCCTTACAGCAGGAAGTAGTTGGCATTAAAGCAGGAAGTAGTTTGCCTTACAGCAGGACGTAGTTTGCCTTACAGCAGGAAGTAGTTGGCATTAAAGCAGGACGTAGTTTGCCTTACAGCAGGAAGTAGTTGGCATTAAAGCAGGAAGTAGTTTGCCTTACAGCAGGACGTAGTTTGCCTTACAGCAGGAAGTAGTTGGCATTAAAGCAGGAAGTAGTTTGCCTTACAGCAGGACGTAGTTTGCCTTACAGCAGGAAGTAGTTGGCATTAAAGCAGGAAGTAGTTTGCCTTACAGCAGGAAGTGCTTTGTCATCTTTAGCTTAAGTGCAGCTTCCGTCCACGATACAAATCTCTCATCTCCCATTTTTCGCCGAGCTCTCTCTCCCTCTCATTTCACCTCCGTCCTTCTCCTTCCGCTCCCTGTGGTGCTGTTGCTGCACACACACACACACACACACACACACACACACACACACACTCACACACCTCACAGACACACACCCACGTGCACTCCTTCCTCTCCCTGCGGTGTCATTGTTTTCTGCGAACGTTGCAAAGTGTTTACATTTCTGCATAACAGCAGTCATGAAGGCGCTCCCTCCCTCCCTCCCTCCCTCCCTCACCTCCTCTGCTCCTTGACATCATCCCCCCCCTCCCTCTGTCCTCTATTCAGCATTCTTTGTGGGGTATTAAAAATATATAAATGAAAAAGGTGTCTCAGTGTTTGAATAATAATGTAAAAATCTTAAATTTCTCTTTCATCTGGCGCTCGCCCCTCGTTTCCTCCTTGCTATTCCCTTCCCTCTCCTCCTTCCCTCTCATCTCCTGCCCTTCCCTATTTTTATCACTCGTCTCCTCCTCTTTCATCCCTCTTTTCTACATGCCTCCCCTGCTCCTCCTTGTCCTCTATCTGTTACTCTCATATTATTTTTATCCCGACCCATTCCTCTCGCTGTCCTCTGCTGTCCTTCTTCTTTCCTCCTTTCGGGCAGCAGGTAGAAACTCTCCTTAAAACATCTGGAGCTTTAGACGTCCATGCTGCTCCATTCATAAACTAAATCTAAACCCCAATTATTTTAAATATGCAACAATATGAATCCTCAAATATTCAGATAATATAGCAAACATCTATTTTTTCTAAAATCTTCCACTTATGAGAAGCTGGAACCATCAAATACAGAGTGTGCCGTTAAAAAAATAAAGTTGTATCCAAAAACTATTTTTAAATCCTGAATATATCTGCTTGGCGTATATTTCAGAATAAAGTACACGGAATAAACTGGAATAGAACGCAGTTCATTTATACATTTTTTGTAATTTGTTTTTCCAGATTTACGAGACGTTCCGGAACACTTGCAGTGCATTGTGGGATACGGAGGTTTCATCAACAGCACGTTTACAGAGAGGACTTGTTGAAATAAGAACTGTGCAACGTTAAATGAAACTTCTCTTCTCAACAGGAGGAGCTAAAGTCATATTTTTAATTCAGCTCCCTGTTTTCTCCTTTTTCTCCTGTTTTTGGGAGGAGTTCATCACCTCCTCTCCTTCTCCTTTCTGCTTTCATTCCTCTTTTCCTTTTCTTCTCCTCCCTCCAACACTCCTGTTTCCACTCCCTTCCTCTCCCTCTCACACCTTTCTTAGGCTCCTCCCCCTCCTCTCCTCCTTCCTCTCCCTCTCATACCTTTCTTATGCTCCTCCCCCTCCTCTCCTCCTTCCTCTCCCTCTCATACCTTTCTTATGCTCATCGCCTCCTCTCATCCTTCCTCTCCGTCTTATACATTTCTTATGGGCCATCCCCTCCTCTGCTCGATTTTCTGCCTCCTAAACCATTCTAAAAGATGCCAACCACTCGTCACCCCTACGTATCCACGCATATCTTATTGTAGTGGTGCTCCGCACCCCCCACGCCATTACTTCCCTGCGGATAAGATATTATAATGTCGTCGAACTGGACCCCAGATCCTCACCTCAGAAAAGGGTAGAAATAAATCCTCCACCGCCGCCTCCTGCAGACCCCGACGCGACAAGGTAGTAAACGGAGGACCTCCCACCTCTTCGCGCGGCCGGGAGCACCCATCCGGATATTAGCCATCGTCCCTTCGTCTCGTTATTGAACCTTTATCCAGCACCCATTCCTTGTAGGTGGAGCTCGGCTCTCCATGACCACTGTTCCATACCGAAAAACTTTTGGGGCCG